GCAGCAGCAGCAGCAGCACAAGAAGCAGCAGCAACACGAGGCGCAGCAGCCTCCACAATGAGGCCAATTCTGCTGCTGCAGCTGCAGCTGTTGTTGCTGCTGCTGCAGCAGCAACAGCAGCAACAATAAAAGCAGAAGGGACCGACACAGGAGCAGCGGTAACTGCTAAGGCACCAGCAGCAGCAGCAGCAACAGCAGCAGCAGAAACAACAGCAGCAACTGCAGCAACAGACGTTGCTACATCACCTGCATCAGCAGACACATCAGCAGCAGCAACTGCAGCAGCAGCAGCAGCAGCAACAGCAACAGCAGCAGCATTAGATATAGAAGGAGCAGCAGCAGATATAGAAGGAATGACGGATGAAGAAGTTCGGGTGTATGCGCAGCAGCAGCAAACTCTTGCTGCTGTATTATTAAGAAATTTACGGTGTATGTACACCACAGCAATAAAAGAAATAAATAGAAAAAATAATATTATTAAATTACAAGAAAAAGAAATTAATCAATTAAAAAAAATACTACAGCAGCAGCAGCAGCAGCAGCAGCAGCAGCAGCAGCAGCAGCAGCAGCAGCAGTGGCAGCACATGCAGCAACACACGGAAAGACGAGGGTTCTAACCTCCTCCTCCTCCTCCTCCTCCTGCTGCAGCAGAAAGTGCTTCTGCTGCAGCAAATGCTGCTGCTGCTGCTGCTGCAACAAGTGCTGCTGCTGCTGCTGCTGCTGCACCAAGGGCTGCTGCTGCAGCCCTTGCAGCACTTGCTGCAGCAAGTGCTGCTGCTGCAGCAGCAAGTATTGCAGCTGCAGCAGCATTTAGAGGATATTTTCTTCCCGTTAGTTAGCAGACATTTATAATTAATTAATTAATTTAATTAATTAATTGTTTAATTTAATTTAATTAATTAATTAATTAATTAATTAATTATTTAATTAATTAATTAATTAATTTTGTCTTTTTTTTTCTTTTTAATAAATTGACAATGTTGAGGTGTACATACACCTATAATTTAATTTATTTATTTATTTATTTATTTATTTATTTATTTATTTATTTATTTATTTATTCGTGTCTTTATAAAGGCACATAAACAAATTAATTTATTTTATTTATTTATTCAATTAATAATAACATTTATTTTATTTTTTTTTTCTTTTTTTTTCTTAATTAAATAATAATTATTTATTTATTTATTATAATAATAATTATATATATAAATAATAAATATATAATTATATTTATTATAATAATTATTATATATATAAATAATAAATATATAATTATATTTATTATATATATAAATATATATTATGCGTATATATTATATATTATACAAAAAAATATATTAATAATTATAAATTATAATTATAAATAATTATATTTAATTAATTAATTAATTAATTAATTAATTAATTATAATTATTTAATAAATAAATAGTATTTTTATTAATTAATTTATGTATATTTATGCCCATCTTTTGCATATTATGCATTAATAATTTTCCTTCTTTTTTCTTCTCTTCTTCTGTTAATAACCTATACATAAAAAAATAAATTTATTTATTTATTTATTTATTTATTTATTTATTTATTTATTTATTTATTTATTTATTTATTTATTAGTATATTAATTAAAAGGAATAAATATACATTAATGCTGCAAAATTCTAAATAAAAAAATTTTAGGGTTTAGGGTTTAGGGTTTAGGGTTTAGGGTTTAGGGTTTAGGGCCTTACTCGACCATTTTAGCTAATGGAGGTCCCATGCCTAATTTTTTAATTATTTTTTATAAAAAGAGGATTTCTTCTTTTAATGTTGAGGTGTCTGTACACCCTAATATATTATTATAACTAAATACAAATAAATAAATAAATAAATAAATAAATAAATAAATAAATAAATAAATAATTATGTATTTATGCATGCATTAATAGGGTGTCTTTATCTTTCTTTATTATTATATATTCATGCATAAAGACATTAATTATTATTTATTTATTTATTTATTTATTTATTTATTTATTTATTTATTTATTTATTTATTTATTTATATATTTAGTACATACGTACATATTATATTTTTGTATAAATAATTGAATAAATATCTGTATTTTTTTTGTTTATTTTCTTTAATTAATTCATAAATAAATAAATTAATTAATTAATTAATTAA